AACATTTCACAGTTTACTTAAATCCTCTAGTGTGACATACAATTTAGAACAAAGTTGCAAACTCAGTCAAATTATCCTAGGAGTCATGAAAACAGAATTTAGTATACTGAATATGCACCATTCTCTGAACTAAGGAGACATTCCTCTATCTCAGACCCCACAGTTATTTTTGTTTTTGTTTTCTCTCCAAGCCATTTCTGGATTTCAACACACTTCCTGGAAGAATGAAAAGATGCCCAGCATTGAAGCAACTCACCAAAGGACATATTCTCCTGAAATACATTTTTAATTTTGTGCTTACTTGCCTTATGAACACACTTCATGTACATTCTCCCTCATGATTAAAATGTTCTTATACATTTCACATCCCTTTAAAGGCAGTGACTCTTCCAAAACAGAATTCAATAAAGGAGGGAGTTAACATTGTTCCAACTTTCAAAAGTATAGTGATGCTCTGATAAAGATACAGCTTATGAACATATATCCCATGAAAATGCTCTTTGTTTTACTTCTAGCTATTTAACACTAGGGACACAGACCCTGGAGATACCGGATTATTTTGAAGAAGTATAAACAACAGAATTAGAGAAGTTCACTCTTCTGTTACTTGGAGTATAGTTTCTTCTAAATTGGCAATATATTGATAATATGTCTTAAAAATATCTGACTTCTATATGGAGGTTACACTCTGAAAAAAATCACAAATATATCAATGTAACAACAAGACCATATTTATTTAAATCAGGCCAATATAATTATGTGTTATAAGCATTTTTAGTCTTGTTTGATTTGTTTGCATAACATTCTGCATAATCATAGATAAAGTATGTTCACAGTAAAGATGTCAAATAGTCTTAGTCATGAAATAACTAAAAGATGGATATGGTTTTATAATTTTTTCATGTACCAACCTAGATACATGTATTTAGACAGAACTCTATAGTATACTATATATTCTGAATATGCTTTCAGCTAGCGAGTTCAGAAAACTTGCATATATTAAGTATTTGGATTTCACTATAGACCTAGTTATATTCTTCAGAACAGTCTTATAGATTATAGCACTGGTATTTTTCATTCATCTATTATACCTGCTACATTTACACTTGTTAGTTGCAGATGAGGGTAAAAAAAATAGTGGTGTCAAACACTTACCATAAAAATAATACCCAGATTCATGACTAACTATGAAGTCTTGTGAAATGCATATAGGCACTGACATTTAAAAATAGTAACTTTGAAGGGTTTTGTTTGTTTGTTTGAACAAAGTATTGAAAATTCTGATGCATTTTACATTGGAGGAGTTGGGAAATAGGTAGGAAAAAATGAACCATGATTTTATGTACATCTTTACATGTATCAGCTGTTTTCAATTGGGGATAGTTGCAGAATAAATATTTTGCTTGGAAGCACTTTATCTGGCTCACCCACATCAGTGTATTTGGTCTGGTATATTAGTTGAAGTTACAGTAGAGATTAATCACTTAAAATACTTTTAAATCTAACAAATGATCACTTTAAAACAAAACACTGAGAAACTAAGTCATTTCATTTTCCTACTCAAGTCTACTTTCATTTCACTATGGCATGTAAAAAAAATAAAAGAAAAGAATAAAAGATGCCAAAAGCAATGGGTGCACTCTAAGAATTTTGCTATTAGTTCTATGTTTTAAAAAGTATTAATTCTTCATCACATTAAGTGACAAAATGTACATATGCATTCCAAAACACCATGCAGATTTTGTTTTAGGAATCTGTGTCTCAGATGAGTGTTTTATCATCTGATTTGTAGTCTCATTCAATTTTTAAAGATTATTTTCATGAGCTGCATACATTTTTTTGTTCCAGAAACTAAACCATTGCTGTATCAACCAAGAAGAGGTATTTGCAATGTAGAAACAGATACGAATTGCATATCTTCATTGTGATGATGCATATCCTTGAGTTAAAAGACAGAAGTATCCCAATAACATCTGCATAATCATAGATAAAGTTTATTAAAAAATGATGTCAAATATTCTGTCATGAAATGATGAATGAAAAGATGGATATGGTTTTATATTTTTTTTCCCTTTTACTAACACAGCAAATATAGTGAGAAGCAAGAAAAAAAATTTTAAAGACACAAACAGAATAACAAAAACAACCCTGAATGACTGGTTAATGTATCAGAACATATTTTTAAAGAACATATGTTGTGATCTAAAGTGTGAAAGTTTCTTATGTGTTTAGGATACAAGGGAACTCATGCTTAGGAAATCTCTAAGCCATGTAAATATTTAGATAAATGGTCAATGATAGTATTAATTAGCAATGGACTAGAGTTATTTTAAACACATTAAAACACCAGTTGACTTCAAGGGTGAACTCATGAAATGATGTAAATTTTAAGAACTATTTATTTTAAATTTTAATATCAAAAAATATACATATTCTTTATCCAAGATAATGAAAAGGGATCTACTTGATAAGGGGGATTCACAAAACATTTCTAGAAGGAAGTACTAATATTGTGTAAAAGCTCATATGCAGTAGAATGAAATTTAACCTCTCTTAGTCACCCTGCACAAAATTCAGCTCAAAGTGGATCAAAAAACTAGGTATTAGACCAGAAATCTTGCATATGCTAGAAGAAAACATAGACCCAACACTTCAATATATTGGAACAGGAACTGACTTCCTTAATAAGAGACCCAAATATCAAAAATTAAAATCAATAAACAATAAATGGAATGACGTCAAACTAAAAATCTTCTTCACATCAAATAAAAACACTCGAGAATGTGAAAACAGAGCGTACAGAATGGGAGAAAATCTTTGCCACTTGCCCCCAAGATACAGCATTAATTCCCAGGATAAATATCAAGAACCCCCAAAAAAACTTAACACCAAAGGAAAACCAAATAACCCAATCAGTAAATGGTCAAAGGAATTGAAAAGGCAAGTCATAGAATAAGAAATACAGATGGTCAAAATATATGTATGAAAAGTCTTCTCTAGAAATTAGCGAAATGCAAATTATAATTACACAGAGATTTCATCTCAATGATGTCAGAATGTCATTATCAAGAATACAAGTAGTAATAATTTTTTTATGAGGATGTGAGGATAACTCTATACTCATACATTGCTGAAGTGAGCGAAAATTGGTGAAATCACTCTGGAAAAAATTATGGAGATGCCTCAAAAAACCAAGAATGGAACCACCACTTGACCCAGATATCCCACTCCTGGGTGAGTACCCATAGAATTTAGAATCATCATCCTAGAGTGAAGGAGCTTATCATTGTTTATAGCAGTCATTTTACAGTAGCTAAGTATAGAGCCAACCTAGGTGTCCTTCAGGAAATGAATATATAAAGAAAATGTAGTATAGATACACAATGGAAACTTACTCAGTCATAAAGAAAAATTACCTATGACATTTGTGCTGACAAATGGATAGATCTGGAAACTGTCATGTTAAGTGAAGTAAGCAAGTCCCAAAAATCCAAAGGTCAGATGGTTTCTCTGATAGGTAGAAGAAAGGTAACTCACAATAAAGTGCAGGAACAGGGGAATGAGGGGAAAATAGAGGTGCACTAGATTAGATAATGAGGAATGGAACGAAGGGAGGAAGGATAAGATACACATCAGATTGCATATTCCATATATTTAGAGTTCAGAGACCAGGAAATCCTTGACTCTTAAATCAGATGTCCTGCAATATGTTTTCCAACCAACTGCTTAATATTTTCCTTTCTTCCTGAGTGTCATTCTATAAATTTTGGAAGAAAAGGAAAGGTACACCATAAAACATTGACTCCTTTGTTTAAGCAACTGAGTGGATACATAAAGCAATTTAATGATAAAACACTTAGAGAAGAGATGAGTTGATCATTAGAATGCATGATCAAAGGTACAATTCCAAAACAATAGTGTCATATCCCTCAAAACAGGGAACAAGTTTTGTTAGAGGTAAGTATAAATTTTTATTGCACTCAGAATAATCTCAATACATTTCATTGAACTCTTAATATATTACACTGGAACTCAGACAACAAGGGATGCATAAAAGTAGTAGCTCTTATTTTTAATACCCACTTACTAAAGTCTGTCAATACTTCTCATAATAAAACCAAGGGTACTCATTGTACTTAATCTATTAAGGTGAAACAAAAAGGGATGCTTTATACAATTCCTGGGTCAACACAGTGAGTTCTAAAGAGTTACACATGAATCTGCTGCAGTCACTTTTCATTTTTGTTTGTGGCAGCTTTATTAAGCACAAGGAAAAGCTAGGCTGTAGCAAAAGGAGTGATTTCTAGATATGTACTTCTAACTCCTTATTCTGACTTCTGTAATGTTCACTGCGGAATTTTAGAAGCATACTACCTTCTGAAATTCTTCAAAAGAAATATACAAAAGCAGCATATTTTTTAATCAAACTGAAAATCATAAAGCACTCTGAACATTTATGATTATTTCAAATTCAATTTCATGAATGAAAACATGTTAAAAAACATTCAGTGAAGCAAGTTTCATATAAACATGTTTTTAAGAATTCTGCATGGTTCAGTTATACAAAAACATATTTATCTGAATTTTAATTGAAGAGAATGCAGTTTGGCATAGAAGAGCCCCCTGACTGTCTCTTTCACATCTTTGTTCCTGAGGCTGTAGATCAGGGGATTCAGCATGGGGATCATGACAGTGAAAAGAACAGTGTCCACTTTGACCAGGAGCCAGGAGCTTTGGGCATGTGGCACACAGTAGAGGAGAAGAATTATCCCATGGAAGATGCTGATGACAGTGAGGTGAGAGGTACAGGTGGAGAAGGCTTTGCGGAGGCCACCCTTGGAGGGAATCCTGCTGACAGTGGCAATGATGAAGACATAGGAGGCAAGGATGATCAGGAGGCTACACAATTCATTGAATGTAGAAATGACAAAACACGCCATCTGACTGAAAGAAGTGTCAGAGCAGGACAAAGAAAGGATGGCAGAGTACTCACAGCAAAAATGATTCATGATGTTAGACTCACAGTAGGACAGTCTTACCAGAGAATATGTGAGTATCAATGAGCAGAGGACACCCCACATGTAAGATACACCCACCAGGAGGGCACAAAGCTTGTGAGACATGGCAACTGTGTAGAGAAGCGGGTTACACACAGCCACAAACC